CAACTTTCTAATCTTAAATTCTTGCAGTTAAGGCACCAAGGAAAAAAGTTAATCAGAACAGTTGCCATGGAAATATTTCTGAGAAAGAGATTAAAACCGAGATGCCAGGTCAGGATCGATTATATTATAGACTCTTCTTTGAATTTTGTCAAGTTTACTTGTAACTCTTGACCAGCCCTTGTACTAAAACATTTTTAATATATTCAAAATCTACATACCTAAAAGTTATTTAAATTTAATTTAAAACGGGAACAAATAAGATCTGTCATTTTTCCGATTTAACAAGACAATTTATTTTTGCGAAAAGTTAAACATTCATTTAGGATTAACGTAAAATTTGATTTGAGTTAGTAGATAAAACAGGACAAAGCGATCCTGTTTCATGACGTTATGCACCCAGAATTCGTATTCCAGACTGCTATTCTTCCATTACATTTAAAGAGGGTCAAGGCATTCCCTGGTACTTGTGTTTATACAAAAAATGTCACAGGCGTTTCGTTGAAAAGCCTACGTTAAAAAGATACTTTTACCTTTGACATTAGATCCTTGTCTCAGTTCAAATTAACAGATCGTCTTACCTAAGCTTCCGTTATTAAAGGCAAAGGAAAACTTCATAAAATCCTCTGAGTAATTGAAATCAAACATTGGATATTTATTATTTTGGCTTGATCAAACCCAGTTCTAAGTGAATATGGAATTGCGTCAAATGAAAATATCCGTCATACTTGCGGAACCAGAGGAACCTTTTATGGCCTCTTTAAGGTCATTTAGTTCGTATATGAGTTGGGCTCAAATATAGATCAAATACAGATCGGAGTGCGACAGAATGATAAGATAAATAGGAAACATTTATCAGTCTAACATATTTCATTTTTATTAAAGCTTCACCAGAGAATGAGATATGGAGAAAAATAAGAAAAATTCTGGTATTTTTACTTTTGTTTTCTTTGATTTTCATTGGTCAATAATGTTTCACTCACATTCGACTCTTAAACTGACGTTATTATAATTTGTAGCGTTCCGAATTCAAGGAGAGATGACGCATCCATCCGAAATTTCAAGTAAATATCGTTTCTTATTGGTTTTTATTTCATCATATATAAGTTATTAAAAATGTGAAACATTGTATTCGGATAGCAACTTCAAATTAAGGCCATTTGAGCACAATAAATTCACATAGTATTATGGATTAAAGTGGAAACATGTTGATTTTCGTTTTCGAATTTTAATTGGTTTAGATTAAGTCTACGTGTAAAATTGCATGCAAATGGACACCCTACACAGCAAACACTATGTATGGATGATATATAATAACAGGGCTTGGCCACAATCAGTTTTTTTTCTTCTGTTTCTAGGTTAAAATAAAATCCTGTGCGCTTTTTTGTTTGTTTGTTTGAGGTGGCTGTAAAGGAGCGGAGGAGGAGAACCAATCCAACTCAAAAAGAAAGGGGAAAAATCGTAATTGTCCGCCATTTCCTGGTTTTCGTCGGCGACAAAGTAAGAAAAGAAGGACAAATATTTTCACAATTCCAGAGTGCCTGTGGGTCGGGAGGAATGAATGAAAACGGATCCTTTTTCCTTCGCTTTATCAAATAAAAAATGTACTAGAAATATTCGCTGAGTTCTGTATTAAACAAAAGATTTCAACTTTTAAATTAATGTTTCACTGTGGTCTATTTAAAAAAAAATCAGAAGTGTATGAGGGGGTGCTAAAAAGTTCTTGGACTGACTTACAAAAACTAGTATTCGGCCATTAAAATACATTTAAATTTCAAATAGACGGGACTCATAGATTTTTTTTTCTTAAATAGTTTTTTGTAATTTTCAATAATGAAACACTTTATTCGAGAATGCACGTAGCCTAAGTTAAGGGGTGGGAGAAAAAAATTCTGAATATTTCATAAACGGGGTGGTTGGAATAAGGATTTCATGGGTGGATTTTTCTCCTAAAGAGAATAATCGTCCAGGTCCGTCTATTTGAAACCCAAGTATACTTATTTTTGGAAATCTGCCAAGCCGAGAACTTTTCAATATCTTGTAAACACGACATGTTATTAAAAGGATTGCAACAAGCAACAGTTTCTAAAGTAAATCATTTTATAAAAGATAAATTCGAATACAATTCAAAACAATGATATACATTAAAAAAAAAAAACATTTGAGGTTTAAGATTGAATTGGCGAACAAAAGTCGTTGATCTAAAATAAAACCTGTCTTCAGAGCAACAAGACAATTTTCAATGGAATGAATAATTTGAGTATGATATACAGAAACTAGCAAGTGTTTACGATCAACATGATAGATTAAAGATTGGTCTGTGTGAAAAGACATTGAAATATAAAGAAATCTAAACATTTAGCGATGTATAAAAGTAAAAGATTATTGAGAGGAAAAGTTGTTAAATCTTTTTTAACTTTGGAGGAAATCAAATTGATGTCAAAATTTGACAATAAGCATTGTATTTATGACGAGTAAAAATAAAGCAAAGACACATTTTTATAAACATTCAGATAAGAAAACCGATTGTAGATATGGCCTGTTGTTTTAGGTGTGTTCAAAAGTTGCAGCGTTTTATTTATTTATTAAAAAAAAAAAAAAAAGGTTTTCTACTTTGTATCCAGTTTCTAGTTTTAAGAATCTGGTGTTCTAGGATCTTTTGAATTCACCTATTACACATATGCAGTCTATTCTGAGTAAATGTGTCAATTTACATTAAATTTTATCCGGAGACTTTTAATGGAAATAAATTTATATAATTTATTATTATTTGATACAAAGCAAAATTTGGGTCACTCTTGGAATATCAACCTTGTGGTAAACTTACATTTCGAATCGAATATAAATTTAGTGTACAAGAGGTCTAGTACAGGAAAGAAGTTAATATTTGTATCAAGCTCAAAATGAAGAGTTGACAGTACAATGTACATTAACTTTATTCAAAACAGAATATAATCGAAAATCTCTGTAATATATATGTTTCAAATTTCCTATATTTGTAAGGGAAGTGTGCTTAGTGATGGAGCATTTGTAGATTTATGAATTGTGGTTGTAGGAATCGACATTGCATAGTGACTGTCAATTTCACGCCTCAAGCGATCTCCATACTATAAAGATTGATCGAGGGTTCAAACTGACAGTCATTATGCAGTGTTGATTTTTATGCCCACACTGTCTAAATCTACATATATTTCTCTTTTTCTCTGTTTATATGCAACGTGTGTGCGTGTGTTTATGATCGGCGAAATATGTTAGAGTAGACGTGTTTAGTTTATATATATATGGTCCGCCCTAATTCCCAAATCTGATCAGTTTTTAATTTCTTTTTGGTCAGACCAATAATTTTCAGCCTCTCCTTTCATTTTACTCACACACACTTTACCTGTCTCCAAACATCTCTTCCAACCTTAAAGTCAATTATCGTTACTTTATGATAAGAACAAAAATAGTTTGATAGGCAATCAACCATAAAATCTTGAATTATCGGAAAAATTATAAAGTCGAAGAGAGGTAGCTAATTTTTCGCTTTCTTTGACAAATTGTAATCAGTCGAGTTTCAACTTTGGCGAAATGTCCAATTAATCTATTTTCAAATTTGAGATAGGTTTCAAAATTTAAATCTGATAAAAAAAAAGAAGAAAACTTTTGCTAGTCTTGTTATGAGACAACTCTGATAGTAAAAAATAAAATCGTTAGACAAAGCGAAAAAAAAGCAAACAGATATTTTGCTAGAAACATTTGTATAATTAATTATTGTTCAATGTCTTTAACAATAACGAGTTTTGTGCGGAAAATGTCATCCTAAATGAAATATGGTTAAAAAAAAAATCAAATATAATCGAAGGTAGAACTTTCTTTCAGTGGCATCCCACCATAACCACCCACCCATCATCATATGATAAATGTAAGAATTGAAAAGTGATTTGCAATTTCTCAATTTCATAAATGAATACAAAGTAACAAGTTTGACTTCAAATGGCAGAGTAAAATTCAGAAAGTGTAATAATAGGCATTAAAATTATAAAGCAATTTAATTAATTTGGTTGAAAGTGAGAATATTTTAACCATGAAAAACAAGACGAACGACATAAATGTTTTAAAAGATTTCGACATGCAAATGAAAATATTCTGCCCAAGAATGTTCCCAGTTGACTTTGAGTAAGCCAAGTAAAAAAAATCAGCAATTTTTGATTTTATTAAATATAGATTACAACTGACAGTCTTAAAGAGAAGCAATGACAATCGGCCACATTAAAATTAAAAGGGTTTTTTTCCATTCAGTTCAGTTTCTGTGTTTCATTTTTCATGCTCTCGTGTTTTGAATTACGATGTGTTTGTCGTATCGAAAGAGTTTGTGACAAGAATTATTTTTCTAACAAAAACAAGCGCAGTTAAAATTTAAAGTCATTCTGTGGCTATGGCGATTAAAATCAAAACTTTTTGCAATTTACTTTAAACGAAGAAGTAAAAGATATATGTTAGTACAGTGACTATTCAAATTTCGTCATCACTGGAGACAAATTTTGAAGATGATCGTCGAAAGTGGAAATAAAATCGACCCAGTCAATAACGCTATTTAATTACAATCTTTGGCTATTTGCAAATATAACTTATAGTTATAACCTTAAAGCTGTGACTCTAAGTTTTAAATAATGTAAAAAGTAAAATGTCGGATAACGCTTTAAAAGTCTTGAAAGAAATATTAAAAAAATAACATCGAAAATAGACTTCAGAATATTGAAGAAACTGATATATTAGTTGAAAAATCTTGAACAACAGAAAATAATACTGGAAAAAAATGTTAATGGTCTACATTACAATACTTTCCACTGTTTTCAAATTTGTATTTAATACCTGTGAAAAAAAATCAGTGTTTTTTCAACTCTGAAAAAAAAATCAATAAAGACGATATCAATATCCGGTTATGTGAATATAGTAAAAACAATAAACATTGAATAACTTTTAACAAATTAAAAGCTACAAAAAGTTAAAAAGGTATTTACCTGTCGCTTGTACAATGTCCAGGTTCACCATCAATAGAAGTAGAAATGTAGGCAATGTAAACATTTCAAATGACTCCGAATGCATTTTTAGGAAAATCAGGAAATTAATTTAAAGGAAGAAGTAATAATGTATAATTTGTCATCTTTCGACCATATTTTAAAAACTTGAAAGAAATTTCCATAAAAAATTAAGAAAAAGAAACTCCCAGAGCGTAAGAACCAAGTTCAAACAAATTAGCGTACTTTCACTTTGAGATAATCAACCTTAAAGTTTTTAGGTTTTGCTTGTGAGTCGAAGAAGAGATTATATCGTAGCTTATAAAAGAACAGTTATATATATATATATATATATATATATATATATATATATATATATATATATATGGGAAGAATGAATGATATAGTACTCGTGTAAAAAAAGCGACGAAGAAGAAGGAGCCGGTAGCTACTTCTGTCAAATTTCTCCTTGCAGACAACCGTTGCGTTTTCCCGGATTCAACAGGTATCTGTTCAGCGTTACTGTCATTGCTATTATAAAATGAAAATAATACATATTGAATATTCTTTCCTTTTTTTAACGGTAAAGTTTGCTTTATGCTTCTGGTTTGTTCTTGATGTTGGTTAAGTTAATTTTAAAAGTCTTCACCGACATATTTTCTGTAACATGAATGAAAAAATAAATAAATAAAAAAGACAAACAGAAAATGAACGCACACACGCACAAGTGGGGGGATGAAGGAAAGGAAGAAGAAGAAGAAGAGTAGAAGAAAAAAACACACACACTCACACACCCAGTTAATAATAATCACATATGGTTATATCAAATTATGAAGACTTAAGAATAGTTATTCACAAAGTTAGAAATTTATCAATTCGTCTGTCATTAGCTTGTTGTTGCATTTGCTTTCTTTCCCGTAACCTTTCCATACTTGATTTTTTTTCTTGCAGTTGAACCAAATCATCGAGAAAATAAACTTTCCTTGTCAACAATCATCATTGTAAAACAATCCACGTACGAACTGAAAGAATAAAGAAAATATATTCCAAGAAGAAGGTATGCCTAAAGAAAACCTGTCGTCTGTTCATAAAGCTAGCAGTGGATGGATATATGCGACACAGGATTGTATATTTGTCGTTAATAAAAGAAGAGTGAGGACCCCGACAGCAGTAGAAGTAGCAGCAGCCAACGCAGTTAAACTCAGGTTCTTGTTGTAGTCGTCCTAGCAGAACGTGGTATATTCCCTGATCTGTTTAAGATTGTTTATTGTTACAACGATAGGAAGAGAAGTTACCAGTCGCATGTGTGTGCGTTTTCTTCTACCAACATCAGATTTCTAACAATTTTAACAAGACAGTTTTAGAATAAAGTTCAGGAACTCGCGATGTCCCAGTAAACAAGATTTTTTTTATTAATGCTTTTATTTTTTTTTTACTTTGCTTTTTTTTTTTTTGTAGCTTTTCTTTTTCGTTTGTATTTTTTTCAAGCGTTTTCTTTTTTAATCCCTTTTTAGTTTTTGTTTTTTTACTTCCTTTTCTCCTTTGTAAATATTTACAAACCAAACCACACATCCCAACTTTTTTTTGTTCTTTCTTTTAAATCATTTACACTGGCTTCTTTCTTTCTTTCTTTCTTTCTTTCTTTCTTTCTTTCTTTCTTTCTTTCTTTCTTTCTACCTACCTACCTACCTACCTACCTACCTACCTACCTACCTACAGTATTGCAGATTTTTTTTTCAGTGTAAAAAAAAAATATTTTGATTTCAACAAAATTATTTATCTTCGTCGCATTCGGGATCTTGCTTTATGAATAAAATTGGTTCCTGGAAAGAATATTTTTTTGTCTTTTTTTAGGAGTTGTGAGAAATATTGAATTGAATTTTGATAAGTTTAATCATCAACACAATTGTCATTTCCCAAGAAACTAAAATTTTGTTCACATTTTAAAATAACATTTGTTTCTCTTCGGAAAATATAGAGGTGACACTATTTTCTCTCTTTCTCTCTCTTTAAAAAAAATGAAGAAGAAAACTTCATCACTGTGATATTTTATATTTTACATCACTTCATTGAAAAGTTAGAGATATTTTGCAATATTTGAAATATATTACAATATGACATATCCTTTAGCTTTAATCTACAAAGTTGCATTTATTTACTTACCCAAAAGAAAAAGCTCAACTCCAGCAGCAATTAAAAATATGAAATTCCAAAGAACTTCCAAATACCATCTATGTATTTGCAAAATGAGCCTGTTTGGTAGTTTTCATGTAAAAGATACCATGTGCATATTGCAAATATATAAACCCCAAGAGAAAGTCTTTGAAGTTTCAAGTTGGTTTTACCAGGCAACTTTGTATTAGGCTTGCATTGATGACATCGTGCATTTCAGATTCACCCTAACCCATTGGCAGCCCTAGAGGTACGGTAAGGAGTTGTGGTCAGCCCTGGGAGGCATGTTTTAGGGGTGCGACATTTAGTTGAATTAGTTATTTAGTTAGTATAATGAAGTTTTTTTGGTTTTTTTAAAGTATTAATTTGTAATGAAAAAGATGTCCAGATTGTTTTGAGGTGCGACAAATTCTACGATCGCCCAGGGCGGCAAAAACACGAGGTACACCATTACTGTAACCACTAAGATATATGCGCAAGTGAAAACGAATCAACGAACCTGGAAGTATACAGTACTAAATAAATAGTAACAATTGGGCTAACAACATGTTTAAGTTTCGATGAAGAACAAAAACAAAAAAAAATCGTGTGTGTGTGTGTGTATGTGGGGGGGATCAGTGTACGCGTTTGTGCGTAGCGTACACATCTAGAAGTTTACTAAGCTTAGCTTAGTCTGACACAAGGTCAGAAGAGTCACGAGTCTTTAAATGTGTGTGTGTGGGGGGAGGGTTTATATTTGTATAGTGTAGACATCTGGCCGGTTTGTTTTGCTTAAAATCACGTGCAACGAAAGATCACCTGCAAAGACGAAGATTAAATATTTTAAAAAGCAAATACCTATATTTTTATAAAGAAAAGGTGAGATTAAGACACACGTCGGCCTGTCAAGCCTAGCATCTATCTCACTTTTGAAAAGCCCGTGGTTAATCCTCTTGAAAGAAAACAAATAAAAGAACTCTGGACGCGTTATCTTTTTTGCCATTACTCGAGCTTTCTTGTAGTGACAGCCCCAGGCATTTCATTCTCCTTACGAGAGAAACATATTCGATTTTTGTCATGTTCTATAAAATTGCTAAAAATTCGCTAAAGTGCTCTATTAGGCACAATTTTGTGAAACTTTAAAAAAAATTACTAAATTTACTTACTTATAAAATTTATTGTTGGTGTTTTAATAAAGTATTTTTTTTTTGAAAAAAGAAAGAATTGCTTTTTAAAAATCTAGAATGGTTGGTGTGCAGTAATAAAAAACTGGTAGACTAATTTTGCTATGCTTTTTTTTTCTTTTTTAATACAAAAATTTAAATTTCTCCCTAGCAGACACTTATCCGTATTGTAACATGTTGTTATTTCAACATAGTCATAAAATATTAAGTGGATGCTCTCTGAGGAATGATGGATTTTGATGATGTGCATTCTTCTTTTATATATATATATATATATATATATATATATATATATATATATATATATACTTTTTTCCAATTTGTCCTATATCTTTTCTTTCAAAAAAGTTCTTGATATATAAAAAATTATATGTGTGTGTGTGTGTGTGTGTGTCTTTCGCCTTTAAACTATATCACATTTCATATTAATTCTTTGGGAGTCATTTTATTTTTAACAAATGACAATTTACCAAAATCGTCTTCACACTTCACCATTGTTCTATGGGACTGATGTAACTTTTAGCTAAATAACTAGCAGTACAAATGAACACAGGAAGGTTTGTGTTCATGCCTTCTTAATTACATTAACCTGAAATTTTACTAACAAGTATTGGGTGTTCTCGTATAGAATCTATTTTCAAATATTTAACACATTTTGGTATTTTTAAATCCGGAAATATATACAAAAGAATCATTATGTAATCGGTATTTATAGTTAATAGACTTTTGAAAATTATCTATATATATATATATATATATATATATATATATATATATATATATATATATGCCGTAGCGCATTGTTTAGCACTTCTTGTAAGTAAATCCGGTAATATAATGAATTTAATACTCACTGAGTGCCCTGTTATTGTGGTTATGTACTAAAGTAAGCTAAACTTAAGGAAATAATTAGTGCGCACCCTCTCGGGGAGGGTTAATGATTTGCGAGATATTTTGGCTGACCATTCCTACTGAAGCAAGTTTGATCCTCACCGGGTGCCACATATGTGTGGCTTTGTGTGAACAACTATTGGGTGCCTAGTAATAAAGTAATCGTTTGTAAGCTAACATCGCAAACCATTATTACTGAAGTGAGTTTGATCCTAACTGTGTGCTCTGCAGTTATGGTACCCCTGTTAAGTTCATCGATATTATATTCTGTCCAAACCTGAATCCATTTTTAAACGTATTCACATGACATAAACAATTAGATATCTTTATTTTACTTACTTTTGATACTTATATATTTCCTTAAAATAATTCAATTTATTATATTTCAGGAGCGCGGGAATTGTTTTATCTCGGAAGTCGGCGTGTATTATTGGCCATCAATCTTTTATTGAGTTTTTCTAGCAATCTAACATTTTTCCATTTTTCAGGGGTTAAAGGTAATAGGAATTGTCGATAGTCATAATTGTTCCGAGCGCTTTCGGCTTCTTCTCTAGCCATTATCAAGGATGTCCTTTGGATGGTGAAATTTTGTGTGTGGCTGCTACATAGTATTTTATTTGAGTTCGAGCGGTTTGTGTGATTCCTGGCGGTCACATGCTATGCGTGACCAGTTGACCGTGGCCAAACTTCTATTTTTAGAACACTTTTAACACGTCGTTTCCTCTGCTAAATAGTGATATATATATATATATATATATATATATATATATATATATATATATATATATATATATATGGAAAATATATA